GGGGGGGCAGAGGGGGAGGGGGGGAGGGGATGATGAGCTCCCGGTGGCCCGCTTGCAACCCCCACCTCGCACCCATCCAGCCAGATCTCCATCGCTTTTACATATTTACATACGTGCATACACACAGACACACCTGCATCACGCCGCACCAGTTCTCCTGTTGCAGCTGACCCTGCTCCAAGGTCAATCCCTCCGCCACCAACCAGGGTACGGCACCCGTACGGGGACCAGGTACGACGGAGCCCAGCTGCTCGGCGGATGGAAAGCGCTCCAGGAATCTGAACAGCACCCCGCGGGGCCCGGGGGGAGGGGCGGGTAGGGGGGCCTGGTGAAGGGCGGTCGACGGGGTGTCGAGGATAAGACAACCTCATCAAGAAAACGTTAACTCCTGACCACAACGCGGTGAGGACGTACGCATATACACAGCGCGCACAGCTTTCCAAACCCACCTGTCGTACTTTTCCCTTGACCCCGGGTACCAAGGCTCCCTGGCTGGCAGGGCCGCCAGCTTCGCCTTGACGGCTGCCAGCAGCGCTGGGCGGAGGTGCCACTCCCGATCCGTCACCAGCACCTGCTTGTGGGGGGGTGGGGGCCCCGGTGAGGAGAGGTGTGCCCGGGGCGTTGCGAAGGCGGTTAAACGGTGGAATGTTAAGAGGGTTAGAGGAATATGAGTTATTTAGGAAAGAATAACTCAGTAAGCCGCACCACCCTGTGGACATAAGCTGCGAGTAAATCATAAGGAGATAACTCTGTTTCTCCTGACTCTTATCATGTATAGAGAGTAAAGTATCAGAGGTAGTAGGGTATTTAGACTTAAAATATGGTGTGCTTGCGTGTGCATGTGCGTGTGTTTTAGACACCTCCGCGCCGTACCGAATTTCCCCACCGCCCTGTCGCACCACCCATCCCCCGACAACCCAACCCTAAGCCCGAGCTTTCCCCGCTCGGGGCCCTGTTCAGTAGAGAGGGTTCTTTCCCCGGCGGACCCTCCACAATCTCCCCCCCCCCCTCTCACACACACACACACATCACCCGCCTTAGCCCCACAGAGGGGCTCGCCACCTCCCCCCTTCCCGACACAGGGCCCCCAACCCCCCAACCCCGCTCACCTCCAACCCGTTGCAGTTATGACCCGCATTGTGGGCGAGCGCAGTGGCAATACCCGTTGCATGGTACTCGATGTCAGCTGAGGTCCACTCGCCGCCGGGTACGATAATGTACGGCGTGACGTTACCCAGCTCGGCGGTGATTCGTTTGGTAGCGGTGCGGGGGCCCTTAAGGTCACCACCACCACCGCCACCATCACCACCACCGCCACCATCACCGGCACCGCCACGAGGTGAAGGGAAGGGAAAGGAAGGGAAGGGAAGGAGGTTGTGCGGGCGGAGCTCAGGTGACCCCGTGTAGGGCAGCTACAGTTTAATTGGAAAGGTATTCTCATTCGGTGTTCATCATATTTTTTCGCTATCTCCCTCATTTCGCGGCTCAGAACATCATCGAAACATACATACATACAAACATACATAGGGTTTGGCACTACTGGTAAGGCGCGACCATTGCCCCCGGGAGATCCCGGGATCGATACCCATTAAGGTCAAAATCCTTCCGATGGTGGACGGCATTGCGCCCCTAGTTGATGGAAGGTGGTGACCTGGGATAAAGTTAACCTGCGAGCCGACCAGGAACGGAGTTGGGCCGCTGTCGACCCGGCAGATTCCGTTGGATGCTGGTGGTGGGTTCTGAACTTGAGCGATCCACTGAGAAGTTGACTAGGGTGACTGGATGAGGGTGCCTCGAAATACCGGGGAGCTGCCACGGGCGAAGATACACCCCCCTGTTTCACACATCATACAAACACCCACACATACAGAACCCCCTTCCCCGCCCACCTTCTTGACCCCAGTGCTCCCCCACACGATTGCATTGTACGTGTCCACTGAACCAGTGAGGTGTACGGAAGTGATGAGGGGGTGGTGGGTGAGCAGCTCCCCGATATCCCTGAAGGCGGGGCCACCGGGGGGGGGGGGTTGGGGGGCCGCACTACTGCTGGGTGCGGATAGGACGTCTAAGAGAGCAACTACAGCCGCAGCAGGGGTCGTCATCGCAAAGGAAAATGACAACGCCGACAAAGGAAACAGAACGGCGCAGTAGCAGCAGTAGTTGAAGGTGTTGCCAAGCTACTGCTGCTCTTGGCAGTCCAGGGGGGGAGATGACACAGGTCTGTGGGAAATGGAATCCCCCGCATCCACCAGTACGGCATTACATGGCACGTACCTGCCGCCATACACAAACTCCAGAAAGCCGGCCTCCACAAGCGGCGCAAACGCTCTGTATGTATGTATGTATGCATGGGCGGGTGGGTGGGTAGGCTTGATGGTTTTAGGGGTCTTGGGTGCTGGGGGACAGGACCCCCAATGCCCGCCACGGAAGGGGGGAAAGAGGGGGGGAGAGGGGAGGGATGGGATGGGGAAGGGGGCTATTGGGGAGCTCACGATGTGTGCTGCTCTGGACTCGACTCGGGCTAGTAGACACTCAAATCATTTGGGCGTGGGGCCAAATTTGCGCTTCACGCGCACCAATCAACACGCGCCGTTGACAGTCATTCGGTACGTAGTGGCTTCATGGCTGTAGTGACGCCCTCCAAGCACATATGTGTGTGTTAGAGAGAGAGAGAGAGAGAGAGAGAGAGAGAGAGAGAGAGAGAGAGAGGGAGAGAGCATTTCAAGGACCAAACCCCTAAGTACCTGATGCGGTACTGTGTGTATGACTGTATATATGTCCACCGGCCCGCCCTTACACCCCCCCACCCCACCTGCGCAGCAAGGGGCCGATGTAGTCGTTG